GCACTACATAAACAAGACAAGCTGTAATAATAGGTGGAGAATGCACAGATTATTTTGTTCGGGTACCAGAGGCCAAATAACATCAGCTATTGGTTTCTTCCCGATCAAGCCTGGGTTCACCAACTCAATGATGTCGAAGAGCCTATTTCACTGCAAAGGAAACAAATTCATATTATCAAAATAACATGCACACGAGACACACCAAGGAGTTGACTAAGAGACCATACACATGCATTCGTCAATAATCTTTTTGCATCTAAAGCTCCATCCTTTTTCCTTTTCTTTCTCCTTAGTTCAAGACCACTATTCCCCTTTAACGAGTCGAGGACATAAAAGTTCAGTGTGTATGGCTCTAGCATGAACCAAATCTAATGATGGTTCACAAGTGTTGGACCAACAATGAGATTGCATTCAGTTATATTGTATCCTACATATTCAAGCAAGATATCCCTCTTGTTCTTTGCTGTCTTCCAAACGAGTGGATTTGACGTCATTTTGCACTACAAACAAGAACACATTATGCAACAAATTATAAAAAATGAAACATAGTAAAGAAGACATTTTAAATTTAATTTCACTGGAAGCTAACTATGAAGTCAGCATTAAATATATGATGATAGACTGGACTTGAATCCTTGATATCACCCATTGATGTATCGCATAACATAGTCATGAACTACAACCACCAAGGAGTTCATGTTACTTGTACATTATTATGTGTAAATTATAACAAAAACAAATTTAGACACTGTCTCACCCTGTTACTAATCCACTCCATTCATCCCAAACATCGAAGTTCATCACAGGTGAGATATTGATCATACATTTCAATCAATATCTTGAAACAAGGAATAATAAATAACTTCTCTTAATCTGTCGAAAATGAATGAAAAATTAGGCAACAAGGACTACTTACTCATCATCTTCCTCTTTTTTACACATGTGTGATACAATTGAAAACAATTGTTGCTTTTCATCAACCTTGTTCTTCGTCCTCTTCACCAACTTCAATAGAACCCAAGGAGACCTAATAGTTAGTATTTTTGTCCTTGTAGATCTCCTAAGTCGTCGTTCACCATCATCTTCCTTAACTTCCTCCTCTAATTTTTCCTCTCTACCCTTTTCTTGGGAAGACATATGAATTAGAGATGACAAATCATCAATTTGTTCTTCTCCTCCTCCTCCTGCTTCATCACCTCTAGCTTCCTTTTTCATCATCATCTTCTTCTTTGTCTTCTCCTTTATCTGCTTCTTCTTCATCTCCTTCATCTTCACCTTCTCCATCACCTCCATCTTCTTCTTTTCCATCTTCTTCGGACTCAGAATTTGCCTTGTCTTGTTCTTCAAACTTGGAGGCCAGCTTGTCTTCACTACCATATCCTACCTAGTCATCTTCTTTCTCAACTTCAACACTTGACTTGCCTTCCCCTTTTAAATTTCCAATGCTTCCCTTTTCTTCTGCTCCTTTCTAAACACAGATTCGACATAAGCAATTAATCTTTAGTGGTTTTTTTCAATAACGTCCATTACTATTAAAAACAAGTCCTTCAATTCCTACACATTTATAAAATGTAAGTAGAAAAACAACTTGTTTTACATGCTATTCTATGCAAAACAATGAGAAATAAATACCAGGTCTAGATATGACATCGTCGGTCTCTTCTTGGTGACAATGGAAGGGGGCTCTCTTGCAGGAGCACCATAAAGCAGCCTAATATTAATATCTCTCTCTTTTTGTAGTCTTTCCTTGGCTCTACTATTATTCCAATATTGGACAACATTTCTTAAATCATGGTCACTTGTTTCGACCAATGGAAAATGCTCAAAAAAAAAAAAAAGATTTGCATGAACATACATATAGCTATCACATTATACTTAGGATGAACGCATTACAAAGAAAAGAATATCATAAATTCATCTATACATACCACTAAAAAGTACAAGTATCCTCCTACATTTGCAATCCAATCCTTCTTTTTCCTCATTTGTTTCAAATACTCTTCCAACTTGTCACATAAGTCATCTAATATGTATCTTGACCAATTGAAGTTTTTCAGTGCATTCTTGGTGCAATACATTACTTTAACCATCCGCTCACTAACATTAGCACTAGCACTCGGACATAAAAGTATTCCCAATGTGTACAACAAAAATAAAAACTCAAAGTTTTCATCCTTTGCTCTAGATTTAATCAATGCCAATATCTTCTTATATGAAATTTTATAATAGTTTTCCCTTAACCTTAAGAATGCTTCATCTTGGTCATCCATCTCTATTGACACCCTATCCCCACCAAAGGATAATCCTATCAATGTGTGAACATCTTCTGCTTTCATTTCTTTTGACTTCCCTCTAATGCAAAATCAATGGGTAGGTGGATCATATGAAGATATTAATTAAAAACAAAGGTCTTAAGGGAGTGTTTTCCATCAAATATCAAGCAACACACCAAACCCTATGTTCTCTACCCTCATTCTTAGGTTCTCAATCCTTTTCACGAACTTTGCAAACTCCATAAACTACCTCATAGAGCACCTCATGTGAAAAGGAACCTTGTATTTATTTCCTCCAACATGTCTGTCAGATTTTAATTGCCTAGCCTTCTTAACATACTTGGCCTTTTCAACCTCTGGCAACTCTTCCCACGCCTTTAGTTTATGATTTATTCTATATTTCAGCCTCATTTTCTTAAATTTATTCTATTTTTCTTCAAAAAGCCCTTCTTGAAAAGACTTAACGCATTCACCATTTTTCCTATCCTAAATCATATCCATTTAGAAAAAGCTTAAACATAATTGCTGCATTAGAAAGAATATACATAACTTGCTGCGAAAGTGCTTTTAGATCCAATCAATTACATATGCAGATCACATACATTTTTGACAAAATATATAATAATGCTCAACAGAGTAAGGACTGAGGTATAAAATTTCCATATGCAAAAACATAAGAGGTCAAAAATAATAATCAAAATAATGGAAAGACTTATCTTGCAGTTGACTTCAAACTAATCACGAAAAAATAATAAAAGTAATATTGAAATAACAAAATCATCCAACTAATATTTATCTAAGTAAGGTCTCAAAAAATTACTTATCTTTTTAATGTCAAACAAACAAATTATAAAAAGAAAAATCATAAGCAAGTTTTTTACTTGTGCCAGTATAAGCCGGTTCACTTTTTAACCATTTTTAAACATTTTGGTCAATTCAATTGATTGAATTGATCAAATACTCTCTTTTTGTTTTATAACTAAGATCACATTCAATAAGGATTACCAGTTAGCTGCTAATAAGGATGATTTCAATCTCACCATGCTTACTCAGAAAAATTTTGACTAATCACCATATCCCTCGTATCTTCCATTGCCTTTTTTGCAATGACAATGAAAAAACTATGAATCACCTCTTTCTACATTGCCATTGGTCTACGACAGATTCGTTCTTTGGGCTTCTACCCATTAAAAATGATTACATCTCCATCTTTTAACACTTAGCTTAAAAAGTGGCTATCTAGAACTTAGAATACATGGACAAGACAATTTCAAATTTCATGCAACATGACATGGTAGGAAAAAAGCATAACACTCTATAAAACAGACTAGTGTAGAAAAAGATTATTGATAGTTGATCTCAAATAAATTAGCCAACAACTAAAATTGGTGACAACATTCAAAGACATTTGTTAACACTTACATGAAACAAAGCCACAGACATCATCAATCGTGGCTATGAGGTTGGATAGATTTTGAAAAGCATTTGTGTAGTTTCATTATTTCCTTTGTACTCTTAATGCACTAATCCTTCTTTGATAATTTATTGATCCTATTTTCATTCAAAAAAATAAATAAAAGAAATCAAACTTTCAACCCCACAATCCTATAGTTACTGAAGTGAAGAAGATAAAAGAGGAAGAGTGGGACGGAAGGAACCGGAGTCAAGTGAGACTGGGGAGAGAGGGAGAACGGCGATGACGACGATGAATCCACAAACCCACAATGACAGAACCACTACTAGCAACACTGAGAAGCAAGCTAGAAGTTGTTGGAGGTGAACTGAGAACAACTGTCAAGTTACAACAACGTTGTGATGGCAAGACAACGACGAAGGCACACACACCTAAGACACGCAAGGGCGAATGCACCGAAGACGACACGAGATAACAATCTGAATAGAGCACAGACAAGATGCTAGAATGGGAGAAATGATGTTTTTTCTTTTAATTTGAACAAAGGGCCAAATCATCATTTCCTCAAATTTTTTAATGCCAAAAAAAATCCCTTAAAACCCCACGTGAATGATACCATTTTAAGAAACCTCTCTATCACTTAGCTAACCTAAATGAACTTTGTTGTTATTTTCTCAATAATTAATCATGTTAACTTTTAGAATTAATATATAATAAAAATTACAAATCTTTATCACATTTTTTAAAATTATAAATTTAAAAAGTATAAATAACTAAAGATCAAATTCTTAACACTAAGATCAAATTTTATATTATTTAAAATTTTATCACATTTTTTAAATATTTTATATATATTACATTTATATAATAAAAATTATAAATTATCATAAATCAACACCTTCTTTAATACTTGCACATTCAAAAACACATTGCATTATCATAATCAAGACAACTTTTAATATATCAAATTGATTTTAAAAAAATATATTCAAATATAAATTTCATTACAACTCACTAAACTAACTTTTATTAAATAAACTTTCAACAAATAAACTTTTAACAAACTGAACACTAAGCACACACTAAGTTACCCACTCAAGCCACTAGGTTACCGAATCCTAGTGTAACAAACCATTAGATGTTATCAAAAAGATTAACAATCTATGCAAGCATGGAAAATGAAACTTTTTTCCCTTTCTGAATAACTCAGACACCAATGATAAGCACTAATCAAATACTACGGCATTGTATGTGTGATGTGACTCTAGGGCCAAACAAACGACATACAAAGCCTAGAATTGTTCAAGTCAAAATAACCAGAAAATAGCTCAATAAACAAAACAAACCTCATACAGGTGTATTAGTTCCCTTCATTTAACCAGAAAACTTGGCTCAAGTCAAAATAATCACTTAAACCGCATAATGTTGGAATTGTTATAATATGTTAGACTTAGAGCAAACTTGTGACCCAGTGGTTGACAGATGAGTTACAATGCTTGCAAATTCATTCAGCCGATGTACAACAACAGGTGTGTATATATACACAATTTTTCTTTTTTTGTTTTTTTTTGTTCAGCCTCGGGTCAAGTCAATACCAGTACGAGTGTGTGTGTGTGAGCTTTTCAGGTCTCCTGGCCACATGGCTGATGATGCTGACAATGTGTAGTTTTGAGCACTTGCAGGAGTAATAGGGCTACTGAACTTGTTACTACCATCACGAAGAGGCTGAGCCTGAGCCTGAGGAGGATTTTGAGTCTGAGGCTCAGAATTCTTCTCACCCTTGGGAGAGGTTACTTGCTTTGTCTTCATCTTAGCACTTCCATATACAAAACTGCACACCACCACCTGCACCCAAGAACACAACAGCAACATTAAGCAAACAAAAATAAATAAGCCAGCGTTTGTCATACTGTTATTATATCTTGATCCTCTTCTTTCACATATTCACGCATTTGGAGAGAGTGATACCAATTACCACAGAATGATATTGAATATGGCGCCTGTCTCTCTCTCTCTCTCTCTCTCTCTCTCTCTAATTAACCCAACCATGTTATACAGTATTAAATGTTAGGCTTTAAGGGAACAACAAAAACATAAAGTTGGAGTAGTAGAGATGAGAATGTTGAGATGGATGAATGAGCATACATGAAAAGATAAAATCTTAAATAAGCATGTTAAAAAAAAAAAAAAGTGGGTGGGCATCTATTGAAAGAGATGGTAGAAAATTGTTTGGGATAGTTTGGCCATGTACAGAGAAGGTCGATGGAAGGCAATGATAAGAAAAGTGAAACGAATAGCTTTGAGTCCTATAAAGTGAAATAGAGGAAGACTAAAAAGAATACTTATGAAAAGTGTTGAATAAGACCTCTTGATTAACAATATTCCTAAAAACTTTATAAATGATATAACACAATGACTTCTGGGTTGATAAAATTCCTAAAAATTTATCTGTACTCTTTTCAAGACAATTTTCAATTGTCATACTGAATGTGAGAATCTTGAATACCATGGTATGTCGTATGTGAGAGAGCAGCATGCTTGATGACTTCTTAAATAACCAGGAATAGGAAAATAGACTAGGTTTTCGGGAGATAAAGAATATACCTGCACTGGGCTTGCAGCGATAAGCACAGCAACACCACCACCAATAACATGACCCTCAGGGCTAGAAAGAGAAACACTCAAACCACCAGTTCTATCACAAGGTCCGCCATCCTCAGAAACCAAATATGAGCCAGACAAGCATAAAATTTGAAACCGGCCCTGCAAAACACAATACAACAATGAAAGATTAAAGGATCCTCCTTTTGATTCTCACTGAAAATCAGCAGTTGAAATGTCTTAGAGACACTAAAAGCACTCATTGTTTTTATTATCAACTACAACCCTACATTTGATTCTTGTGTTTCTTTTTCTCTTGTGGGTCTTTCTTCTGAAGCCAATCAAAGATTGCAAATCAACAGCCCCATTGCGGTCACTGCCGCCAACAAGCCACTAAGTACACTTTATACTTCGGAGAATTCAGTTTCCACATGATTCCTTGTAAATGGAAACCCTTAATCATATGGTCATGCAGGTAGAATATCTTGAAATATACAATTTACATTATATTGTAACTGCAGCCAGCTTCATTTTTTAACACAAACGCTTCAAGGAGTGCTAAGGTGAACTGCATTAACCTTATCTTTTTTAACCAATGCAGAATCATCAGCAAGAAAAGGGTAAAACTTGCAAGTCATTAATTGGGTTCAAAACACTGAACAAGGACACTTAATAATGTCAGAGTTGCCAGCATAGGAGGATAAAGGATAAGCATCATGGTGTAGTGCTTTAACCTCGTAAGTGAGACTGATGTTTGCTGAAGCAGGTTGGCGTAGAGTGACTGAAGAAACTGTGCCAGTGCCTGACATGATGCACAGAGCCCTTGGTCTCTGCTGCGATAAAGACAACAACTTTGCTACAATGTCCTGGGGCCAAAACAAATACCATTTAACAAGCCTGTAACAACGTGCATTAATTGAAGACTAACATTATCAATATAATAACCATATTCATCAATTGAAACAGATTTGAAATTTAAATAAATGTATGAAGTATGATTTGTAATTCATCCTATCATCAACACTACTTACTACAGTGAGTTGCTCATCTTTTCCATTTTATTCTCCGGTATAGATTTGAATCCAATATATTACCATTTAAATTAAGTGATATTTTCAGCAATTTCCAAGTACAAGGCCATTGTAAGACTCGGTATACCAGCATATTAAAGTTCAGAACAGAAATAAAAAACACTTTATTGAATTAAATTATTTTTCTCTCCGTTGATTTTGTATGCAGGAACACCTCCTGCATGCACACTGATCACAACTTTCACAAGTAAACTAATGTTTGAGAGTTGAGACAACCATATCTCCTTACAGATGCATAAATCACTAGTTATTTATACAAAATGTGGTCAAAGGCAATCACCCTTGTGCCTAAGGTGCTAAGGCAAGGCACCAAACAGCTCTAACGCCTTAGGCACCTTAGGCATATGAAGGAATCTGACTCGAGCAGTGCATAATTTTTGATCTTATAAAATTAAAATACCATTTAGGTTATGCTTTCTTATGTTTTTCCTCTTCAATTCAGATAACTAATGTAATAGGCTTTTAGGTTGTTCTATGTCTTAAAACAATTTTTGAACTTCAGTAGTTCATTTTTGTCATTTGTGCTACTACAATTATTTAGTCTTTGTTCATATGTCATAATCTTTCAAAACTGACGTGAAGTCTTACTTCAAATTATGGTTTATCTATTTTTTTGTCTATCAATTTTTTATTGTAGCGCCTTGATTAACTTGGCCAAGCACTTTTCTATCACCTCTTGCCTAAGGCGTTTTACAAACATGTCACCTTAAAAGTGCCTTTCACCTTTGGCTCCCTTGCAATTATATTTTGAACTTGCAAATAAAAAATAGAAAATAGATCTAAATAGATAGAATCATTTAATTCTATAAAATGCAATCTTATAATTACCTCCCCAGCTCCAATGGTGATAACATGAGGTGCAAAAGCAAGTCCCGCTGAACTGTTCATCCATTCACCTAAGAAGAAGTAAATAAAACGTTGACAGTCCACACTCCATGCATCTCAAAGCATAATAAGTTAGAATAAAGCTATCAGCAACTCCATAAACAGAATCAACGAACAGATGGAAAAGAAAGAAAATGGGAAAATGGAAACCCAATGTCTAATTTATCATCCGTTTGGAATTCAACAGATCCTGAACAATCAACTGATTAAGTGTTCTAGTCACTGAACATGATAGGAGGCTTCTCATATGGAATTCCCTCAGTTTACCAAGTTTTACACATGTCCAGGAGTTGCATGAAGGACAATCACGTTGGTTTCAAGAATTTCCGAAGCAGATTTCATGACTAACAAGCAAAGCTAAATTAAGAATATCGATAACCTGCCATAGGCTAACATGCCTTATCAAACACAGTAGCAGCCTATTTTCTTCAAATGAGATTGGCAAAAAGAATTCAACAGCTTCACTCGCTAGTCACTGGATATCTAGAAATTTAGGTTGTTACCAAAAAAGGGAGGGTCTACTTTTGCATTCAAATTACAGCACAGAAGCTTTTTTGAAAAGAAACTATGCATCCACAGCACATCTGGAACATAAGGACATAATGCATGTAAAATCAACAACAAATAGAAAATCCTCATAGAAACATACCTAGAGCCGCTAGCTGCTGCTTCCTGCCAGTTCCAGGTGGCCGTCCTCTATTCCGTTTCTGGGAAGGTGTGCCTGAACCTGGCGCAGAATTAGCAGTTGCAGACATGGGAGACAGTCCCAAAGAAACAGGGCCATCAGGACCATATTTACGCGGCCTTCCTCTCTTCTTTTTCAAGGGCTCACCTGAATGTACTCCAGGAGAGGAACTTATGTTAATGCCTGGACTAAAATTGCTACGAGGAGGCTCCACTGGAAATGTAGAACCCACAGAAACACCTCGGACATTTGACTGAGCTTGAAAGCCAGCGTTTGACAAAGGTCTAAACCCAGGAGGTGTTTGTTGGAACCCCTGGGCCTGTGTTCCAGAGCCAGACCCAGAAACATTTCCTCTATGCATGTAATATGAAGCTGAGCCACCATAGAATGCCATAGCTTCTCTCCCATCCATGCATTTACTAAGAGATTGGTGATAAATATACAAACTTTCTGGTAACTCTGCTCAAATCCTCAACCCTAAAGCTTCCAGAGCAGAGCCAGACTTCTCACGCAACTTACAGAAAAATTCACCAGAACAGGGTTTTTGCCGGGGTTCTTCGAATACCAAGAAATAACAGGCTCGATCAGAGATGAAAAGATTGAATCTTAAGCCCAAAATTGTCGAGACGAGAAGGGGATCTAAAACCCAGTGACCCCAAGTTCTTCATCAAGTTCAAAAAAAAAAAATTCCGGTCTATGCTAAAACACGGGTTTTGCAAGTCCGGTTTAAGTACGGAAATCTAAGAACCTCTCGGAGTTTATGATTCGTCTGCTCGAGTGAGGAAAAATTATGAATTTAGAGCTTTAAATTGTGTTAACAACAAAAACCAGGGTGAGAGCTTACTGAGGAAAAAAATGTAGAGAACTCATGAGCTCAGATTTAACCAAGGAAGCTCAAGCTAACGATCAAGAGGTTAACTGATCACGCCTCAACACATTGAAACAAACAAAACCCTAGATTTCAAATCTAGGGTTTTGATGGAGAAATGCAGGAGGTGGAGATGCGAAAAAGGAAGTGAAGAAAAGACAAGAGTAGTAGGAGTTAGGACTTGGGATGGAGAAAAGAATTAAAAATTTGAGCTTTTTGAAATCAAGTGCGTTAGAGAGAGTGTGTGTGAGAGAGAGAGTGTGTGAGAGATAGCTGTACATTTGATTTGAACAAAGGACTCTTCAATGTTCGGACAGTACTATTCAATTATTTCTTTTATTTAAAAATTTAAAATATTTTAATTAAATTTTACTCTTTACTAAAATAATTATTTATTTTAAAATTAATTTTATATTTTTTAACAAAAAAAATACTTAATATAAAATAATGAAAATAAAAAATTTTATGTTTATTTAAAAATATTAGTTATAAATTAAAAATGGTAAAAAATTTAACATTTTTTTATTAGTAATTAATGACTATAATAAATTAATACTTCCCCAATCCCAAATTAAAAAACACTTTTAAAAAAGTTTTTTTATTTTAAAATAAAATATTTTAAGTAAATTAAGATTTTATTAAATGTGTCAATTTTAATTTTATCATTTCTCTTTCTATAATTAATTTTTGTCTCTTTTCTTTTTAATATATTAAATTATTTTTAAAAGTTTATAATTTTTGGAAAGATAAGTTTGTTAGGTGTATTAAATGAGGTTATTGGTATGTAAGATTTTATCTAAAAATATTTTATAATTCAAATAATAATAAATAAATGTCAATAAATTAGAAAATATTAATTATTCCAATTTCTTCTTGTATTTAAAATAAAAAAATTCAAACTTCATCTTATATTAAGGATTAGAAAAGATATACTAGCCATTTTTAATTTGTTTTTGTTGTTTTCAAATTAAAATATTATTTTCAATTAAAATTTTTATTATGCCTTATAATTTACTCATTTTAAATTAAAAATATTAAAATTATTGAATGAATAAAATACAATAAAGTGTTGGCAACAAAAAAGAATAAAATACGATAAGTGTTCGTACATTAGCCAAACTGGCGGGAATAATCTGAAAATGAGAAGGAAAAAAAAAAACTAATAAGATAAAAGGAAAGAAATATAATTAAAAAGTTAAAAAAAACAACAAAACGGAAGAGGGAGTGATAAAAAGGGAAAAGAATTGGGATTGGAGTTTCATTGACACAACCGTATTAGAAACTTGAGATGAGTTTTAAATGTGTTATTATTTATATTTATATTATTTGAAATTTAATTTAACTTAACTTATTTAATTTTTACCCTTTATATTTATTTTTTCAATAAAATATTATACTAGATTTTATCTATTTAAAATTTTAAATTTTAAATTTTATAACAAATAATTTTAAAACAATAGCCAAGCTTGCTCTTTGGTTTCGTGCAAGACATGATCAAAATATCTTCTTCTTATAAATAAATTAATATATAAGGAGTTTATTATTAAAAATTTAAAATTTATAAAAAAATTTATTATTAATACATAATAATATATCATTGACAAATATAATACATTGATCATAATATAAATTATAATAAATGTTATATTGTTTACTTGGTTTGATTTTATAATATGGATGATATTTGCAAAAAAAAAAAATTTTATTTAAAAATTATTTTATTCCATTTTTTCTAATTATAAAACAAAATGCAAAACTTATAAAATTGTACTGAAATAAAATTTAAATAATTTTAAGGCTGACTTTAATTATACAGGAAGACGTACTCACGTACCAAACTACACCCTTTTCAGATTGCCAAATCATGTGGAGGTGGGCTCAGCTTTAGAATCTGTCGTGTTCTCTACTATTCCCATTTCCCAACTAACAGTAACACAAGTGTGCCAAAAAAAAAGGAACCTTAATATGAAATCTCACCCTATAGATATAATTACACTAAAGTCCCATAAAACATTCAGGCAAAAATGTCCAAATCAATGTTATGAAAAGTGGATCAGCTATTCCCCTCTTCTAGAACCTCTTATTTTTTATGCTTACCCTAGTGCAGAGCCTATTCTTCATACTCGTGTTTCCAATCTTTGTAATTCTGCTGGGGGATGGAATTTTAGTCTTGTGAATCGTCACCTCACTCCTGAGGTGATAAGACTCATTGCGCTGGTGAGACCATCTAATCCTGATAGGGAAGATGATGTCATTGTTTTGAAGACCATTCTCTGATGGCAACTTCACCGTCAAATCGGCATACAAGGCTATGTCCTCTCAAAAGGATTGTAACAACACCGACATTTGGGCTAGGATTTAGAAATGGCCTACTTATAAAAAAATCAAATACTTTCTTTGGAAGGCTACTTGGGATAGACTACAGCTCAATTCTACCTACACACCGAAGGGAGTACTCCTCTTCAAAGATCTTGGTTTTTTAGATGCAATTCTCTTGATTCCTCAATCCATATTCTATGAGACTGCATAGAAGCTCGTAACGTTTGGACTAAACTGGTGAATCCGTCAAAACTTAATACTTTCTTTTCCCTTTCTGTGCAAGATTGGATAATTTGGAATGCAAAAGTTAAGGCAGGAAATCTAAATACAAGAAAGATCCCTTGGCAGAGACTTTTCGCTCAGGTTTGTTGAGACATCTAGAAGATGCGTTGCAAAAAAATCTATTCCGGAGAAATCTCTCAGAATGTCGACATTGCTTTCTCCAGTACCTAACAAATCACCAACGACATGAGGCTTCAATATAAAGTTAACCTCCTTAGTCATGATTGCAAAAGGCTAGAGGAACGTTGGACACCCCAAAAACAGGCTGGATTGTCTTGACATTGATGGGGCTGTCAACTCCATCGGAGCTGCTACTTGTGGTGGAATCATACAAGACGATAAAGGGAATTGGATTAAGGGTTTTTCAAATACCTCGGTTATCATCCAAGCACAACAGCACAACTATTAGGCATTTTAGAAGGACTTCAACTTTGTTGGAATGCCCATTTCGACAAAATCAACATCTGCTCTGATTTGTGGAAGCACTTTCGCTTATCCAACATAATTTCCCTGATAACCATCCTCTCTCTGGAATTATCAACAAAGTCAGAACTCTTGTCATGAAAGATTAGAGCATTACCTTTGACCACACATTAGGGAAGCAAACAGATGTGCGGACATGCTCGCTCACCTTGCATCTCGGGATAGTCTTAACCTTATTATTTACAATCATCCGCCTTCAGGATGCAGATTCTTTATGGAATCTGACATGACCTGATTTTTTTTCTTCTTTTACACAGTTTTTCCGTGTCCTTGTATTAAAAAAAAGTGGATCAGCTATTAAACTAAATGAAACATTGGTTCACAATTTAATGGTCAAATAAGGATTGGATTAGATGTAATTAAGTTAATATATTTAAATACTATAAAAAAGTTTAAATTATTTTGTTATTGTTTTTAGAGTTTCTAAATCATTTTAATTTTTTGGAAAGGGTGATCACATAATTTTTTGAAGGAAACAAGAACTTAATTTGTTTGAAAAATATTTAAATAAATATTTGGATGAATATAGATTTAAAAAAAAAAACTTACATATGGAGAAATAAGTTTAGAGAATCAGTTAAAAAAGAGATAAAAGGTGTGCATGCTTGCTTTTAAGATTGGTAATTAAGCATTTTTAAGGAGCAAATTATATGAAAAATGATAGTAAAATCCATTTAAATTATGTAACTGACAGATTGGTATCATGAAATGGCATAATTTTCTTGGAATCCCGCTGTTTCTGTCATTAGAAAATTATAAGAAATGACACTTTTGCTCTTTATTTAAATTAAAAAAAATTTACAACTTTCAATTCACAACTTTTGTTTATATATTAACAACTTTTATTTCTAAATTCACAATAATTTATTAGCTATTTGCAAGTCCTGATCTACGAGTCCTGATATGCGTCTTGTGTTGAAAATTCATAACTTTCATTCACAACTTTTTTCCTATATTAACAACTTTTATTTCTAAATTCACAACAATTCAATAATCATTCGTAACTCTGTATATGCAGGTTCTGATATGCATCATCAGGTGTTGAAAAATCACAACTTTCATTCACAACCATTATTCTTATATTAATAACTTTTATCCCTAGATTCGCAATAATGTAACAAGGAATTGTAATTTATTAGCACCCTCTGTAAATTGATTAAATTAGCAAAAATGAGTTATCACTCTAAATCAAAAAATAATAACTTTTATTAATTTAAATGACAAGAAAACTTGAAAAAGTGATAACTATTTAAGATTTTGCCTATCAATTACATGATTTACAACTTGCATTCAAAATACCTTATAGCCCTTTTCACAAAAATATATGAAAGGTTGAATCTTCTAATGCCATCCTTTCTCTTATCATTTTTATCCTCATACTCCCCCATCATATTGTATTTTACCTTTAATATTTTTTACAAAATGTCCTCCTATGTGAAAATAACAAAATAGTTCCTTTCCAAAACTAGAAGCAAAAGAAGTCATTTCTCATGCCAACATGAAACAATGAAATGGTCATTCATTAACATGTCTATTTCCCAAACATCATACTCACATATCTATTATGTTTTATTTAACAACAACTATTATTTTTATATTCACAACTTTGTATTAGTCACTCACAATTTTAATTTATATATTTATAATATAACTGAAAATGATATATCATTTATCATTTATTTATGAGTAAGCATCCATACCTATGTACAGCAGAGAAAGTAAAGGCCTCAGTCATGAAGAGAAAATGAAGACATGAATCATTTACGCACATTAACCCACATCAATTTCAATCATCACATACGAGAGGAGAAATTTTCAAGGAGGAGAAGAAATTTACCCACATACATCACAGCTAACAAAGGAAGAATGATTGCTTACATATACCCACATACAATAGCTCAACAAAACAAATCACTCACATACAAAAACTCAAAAAGAAATAAGACACATGAGAAGGAGAAGAAGGAGAAGGAGATGAACCAAAAGAAGAGCACAAAGAAGAGAAGGAGAGGAGAACAAGAAGACGAAGCAAAGGTAAGAACGTGTGAGAATAACTCTATATTAAGGCTTGGGATTTTTATTTTATTTGAGAGTAATTTGATCATTTTCTTTAATTCCTTAATGA